TCTTTCCTTTTCTCACCCTGTGTGTGTGTGTGTGTGTGTGTGTGTGTAGGGGTGTGTGTGTGTGCATGCGCATGCGCATGCGTGCTTCCTGAGGGCAAGATCAGGCATGAGCTCTCCAAAGTTGGTCTGCCCAGTGGATGAACTGCCATTCTCTAGGGTGATACAGAGGGGTAGAAGTAGAGAGGTTCCCTGTGAAATACTACAGTCACTCACTAATACATAACCTGTCACTTTCTACCATGTTTACATTCTTCTTTGTTTTTCCTGTCACCTGTGTGACCTGTTTTTAGCCCATCCTAAATGACATGAGTAAACAACACGGCTCGGAAAAGGGACACTTTGACACCAGAGGCATCATTCCACAGAAGCACAATTGTGGAAACACAGATAAGCACATAGACACGTGTATTTCACCATGGAAAACAGTATTGTTTTTTTTTCTTGCAGCAGAGTAAATTACAAACATTTGATAAAAAGAAGAATAGTTTTGTTACAAACATTTTTAGATTTGATTTAAAAATCTACTTAATATTGATTTGATATGAAAATACAGCTTAACTTAGGTTACAATGTGTCATAATGGCTTTATTATAGAAATAGTTATGGTTATGAATCTCTTAAAATCTTAATGACTTCACATTACAATGGATTAATTCATGCTCAACCTGAAACTAGCCATAAATCAATTTGTTCTGCAAATATGTAATTTAGACCTGCAGGCCATTGCTCTGTGTTTCATTACAATGTAACTTCTAGGTTTTCCACATCATGTAAATTCATGTAACAGAATACACTGTGCTGATGCAGTGTTGTTTTTAAGAGGACCAGTAGTCTTGATACGGAGGAATCACTTAAAACAGTTGCAGGTTGGTTGGTGCTAACCAAGACATGGCCGACCTCAGTACCATGCTAATCGAGTTGTTTAGCAGAGCGTAACAGAGGCAGCAGTGTTTGTCCCCCGGCAGGCCCGTACCCAGGACTAGTTCATCTACTGTTCCTATGACTGGGCCCTGCCAAGCAGAGATAAGGGTTGAATTCCAACTGCTCTGATGGTAATCTGGCTTCTTCCACAGCACACAGCCACACAACCGTATAGCTACTAATCCTGCCCCTGTCTCTCTCTCTCACTCTCTTTTTCTCTGCTGCGCAATAAAAAAGAAAAAAAATATTTGAATGTGTGTGTGTGTTTCTCTGAGTACAAGTGTTTCTTTCAAAATTGCTTTCAGAGAATTAAATCTGCTTGAAATCTAATGTAATTTCTGGGAATAGGTAGAAATAAATCATGTGTGTGTGTGTGTTTGTGCGTTTGTTTCTGTACATGTACACAGAGGAACATGTGAAAGCCCATTTGAACACCTTCCTGTTTGGCTTCCACGTGTTGTACTTCAGTTTCTCCTCTGCTATGAATGCTAAACCAGCAGTATATCCTTCCCTTTAAACCAAAACAGTAAAGATGAAACCACACAAATGCTGGCATCCCTTTGACCAAGTATATAATATGGTGCAATCCAAACAACCTTGTACTTAAATGGTCTTAGTGTTAGAAGCTCTGTATAGAAGCTTAACACACATATGCACGTACTGTACATCACATCATGTGTCCACTGAAGCCGTGAATTGTATTTGAGTGTATGGATAATGACAGGTCTCTGCCTGGCTATGATTAATGGAGGCACAGAGCAGTGCAAAACTGCAGCAACAAGCCCCTTTAGTTCTGCAAAACACCTGAAGAGCTGCTGGATGGTTGTGGTTGAAGGTGGTGGTAATCAGCTCCTTGAATCAGAACTGGAAAAATACACTTGTAGACATAAAACGCCTACCAATAGCTTGGCTTCATTATCTGTTATAGTTAATGTATTTACAGCATGATGAGTAATCTGAAACGGTGTCACACAATACCCCCCTTCTTATAAAAACATCCCTGTGAATCCATGATCATAACTACTACAAAATACACTAAAATACGCTAAAATAAAAATAAGCAGTTACAAAAAGCAAAGAAAAGGCATTTATCTGTGCTCCTCGTACAGCGTCAACAGTTGCCTTGGGATAAGTGAGGAACAGCCGTTCCTGATACAATGACAGTGGTTATGACACAGACCATATGATAAGCTCAGGCGCTGCCATACAAGGAAGTCTATCAGGCCTATCTTTCAGTTAGCTTTATAAACTATAATTCCCTTGGCCTGTGTACATCTCTTTGTCTGTAAATGTTACTAATCACAAATCCCTTCAATGATTTGTGTGTATCTTAACATAGACCACTTGGGTTATAATGTATGTAAGGTTTATCAGATAGGAGTCTTTCTTAAGTGCATGTCCTTAAAATAATAAGTTCAGTAGGAGCAGCTTGTGTTTCAATATAAGCTCCATTATTATGTTACAAACATGGCCTCTCAAATATTCAGGTAAAATACTAGACCTTTTTGTAACCCATTTTCCTCCACTATATGAATGGCCAAATCATCTGTATTGTAGCTATTATCACCGTTCCAGTGTTGTCCAGGAGAATATATGAACAGCCACGTGTCTCCTGTGACACACATGGTGTTGTCAGCTGCTACTTCCCACCTTAATTTTATTTGGCATGTTGGAAATGTCGAGAACAGTAGACATGTCGACATGTTGTCATTGGTGCAATGACAGACAGGATTGACTTACTGACTTTACACCTGTAAAAACAGCCAATCAGTTTTGATGCAGATCATGACCAAGCCATGGGCTGATAATGTCTTCAACCAACCTAAGAAACAAATGACCTTTTACCTTCAGTTTATGTTACTGCTACATTAGAGGCTAATATTTTTTCTCCGGTTATCAAAGAACAAACTTGATTTATGAACTACTGTTTATAGTCCTAGGCCACATCCTGTTAAACTCAATAATCTGCTTCAGCACAAGGACAGGCTGAGGCCCCAGGCAGGCCAGGCCAGGCCCAGGGCTTTCCCCTCCCACACACTGCCAGCTTGGTTGCTTTTCCAAGGCCAGCAAACGAGTCAACCTGGCCTCCAACTTACCCTACACACCCACACACACACACACATACACACACAAACGCACAGACAGATGTTGCCTCCCGAGCTGTGAACCACAGAATGAACATATAAACTCGAAAAGGGAAGGCATCATCTGGACCCTGCATCACCTCCTCTGTCTTTCTCCTCATGTGAGCCCACAGTGCATTAATGCATCAATGAAGGTCACACCACTGGCCTGGACTTGTTAACAGCCACACCATAAGGTCCCTGAATGCCTCACAGCACCCAAAACAACACCTGTTTCCCTTCACCTAACACCACTCACAGTCTATAGCTCTCTTTTTTTACTGGGAGGAAACCAGGAGAGAGCGTTTAAGAAATACTGTTGGCCTCTAGAGCTGATTGTAAGCTCCTGTTGTGAGTGAGTGCAGCTTGTAGTGTATTCCACTGCTTTTTGAAACAGAAGCAGGGTTTTATCTGTTGGTTTACAAGTGAAGAAGTATATACAGTTGTACAG